GCGCGGGCGGGCGCTGCTTGGCTGCCTTAGCGCGCCGCGCCGCCCGGCTCAGCTCTCCTCGCGGAGCTGGGAAAGCGCGCGGCGGCGGGGACGCCCAGTTCTCCCAGCCCGGAGGGCCTGGCGCGGAGGCGGCCTGGCACGTTCTCCCAGAACCACCGTGCGCGCGGCCGGGCTCTTACTCCCCGTGCCTTTGTGGCACCATTTTCTCTTTTCATTTCGAGTCCAGTCTCTTTGCCTTCGTCGCGTTTTCTGCGCAGCGGTTGAGAGCAAACCCGGAAAGTCCTAGCAGCAGCGTCGGCCAGATCAGCGGAAGGCCCGCCGTCGCCCGGGGAGCCCTCGGTGCGCGGTCGGCCGGTGCCGCCCCGGCTGGACCTCGCGCAGCGCGCCCTCCCGCAGGCCGGGGCGCGGGCGCACCCCGGGGTCGTCCTCGCCGCTGCGCGAGCCGGGAACCGCCGCGTCTGCCCTCAAGCAGCCTGGGGCGACTGCCCACGCACAGAGGGCAGTTCAGGGGACTCTGGGACCTGCGGGTAGGGGAGCAGGAAAACCCGTAAAAGATCAAAGAACTATGTGCAGCAGCGCCGCGGGAGAGGGTGCACAGTGGTGGGCTGGAAATAGGAGCGCAGGATTCTGCTCTCAGCGAGGGGGGTGAACAAACCAGCCCCCCTAACTAAATAAGAGTCCCCCGAAGTCCGCGCCGCAGGTGCCGGCCGGGTCCGCAGACGCGCGGCTCCGTCGGCTCTTTCCTCACCTGGGAAGGAAGAGAATTTGGGTGAAGAGAAACTCGCGTTTCACCAGCATTTCACCGGCTGCAAAGTGGGGTGCACTGACCGCATGAAGCCGGCAGAACCGTTTTGCCCGACTCGCAGTGTTTAAAAATCTTCAAAGGTTGTTGCAGAAGTGTAGAAATCAAGGGACTTCACCTAAAATCCGGACTTTAGCCTTCTCTGTTCCCGGGAAGAGCAACTAGTTGGAGCCCCGGGCGGTGACCGCAGAGTGGGAGACGCTGCTGCTAAGAATAGATTATTCCGTGACCCTTGTTGGCAAGGGACAGCGACGGCTGCACCCGCACGTGGGGTTCACGGGGGCGGGGGTGGAAAACTAAGCAGAAGCACGGGGCCTGGAGAGGCCGCCGACCCGCCCGACCCGCTGCCGCCCGGGCGGGTTGGGGGCGCGCGACGTCCCCGGGGTGGGTCGGGTGTGGAGAGGTGGGATGCGGCTGTGAGGCCCTTGCAAAACTGCCTTCATGTGAAGAAGCACGAGAGGCAGAGACACCCGGCAGGCTGTGGGAGCGCGACCAGGCGTACGGTTTGATATCCGTGCAGGCGGACTGAGGGCTACTGAGCTCACTCTTCATGTTACATTTGTTTCAATTTTTTAAAACCGTTGTATTTTGAAGCTCTCTTTGAGTTCCAGCATCAATTTTATTCTTTCAGTTGTTGGCTGGTCCATAACTGCCCGCCATAGGCATCAGTGGCCTCGTGTGGGAGCTGAGGGGCTTCGGGGTGCTTGAGCACAACCTTTGTTCATCTGGGGAATCTTTGCATCCGGTGCAAAAGTCGCGGTTCAGTGTCCAGAGGACTTGCATCGTGGATTGGCCGAGCGGGGAGGACCGGCTGCCCCAGGACAATGGGGAATGCTGTTTTGTGGTTTAACTGAGAGTGAACTTTGAGTCGGGGCCATTTTATTAGTGATTAACTCCTTAGTGGATATTTCAACTTTCTGAAGGCTTCTCTAGATGGCCTTGTGAGTGCAGAGTAAAATATCTGCAGTAATCAGCACCCTCCCTGTCTCAGTTTGGAGCTTCAGAGCTTGTTTTGGTTACAACAACGGGATGTAGATGCAGCTGCCGAGATAGCACCAAAACCTGACAGTTGCTTATGAAAACAATCTTGTATTTATTCAAGAAGTTAACCTGAAAATTTGCATAATGTGTCCCTAATGGAAAGAGCTGGCTGTACACTGGCTGAATGAGCTGACACTTGGCAGAAGCCAAAGAATAATATATGCATTTCAGTGCTGGGGATCTGACCCAGGGCCTTGTACCTGCTAAGCAAGCACTTTACCACTGAGCTGTGTTCTCAGCTCAGAAAAAAAATTTTTTTTTCTGTACTGGGAATGGAAGCCCGGGCCTTCCCACCGAGCTGCCTCTGCAGCCTTTTTAAATTTTATCTTAACACAGGATATCGCTAAGTCACTGAGTTGCCCAGGTAAGGCTCAAATTTGAGATCCTTCTACCTCAGCCTCCTTGTTACAGGTGTGCAACACTTAAAATCTGGGCTAATTTGATAAGCAAGAAAGATTCTCTCCCCGTCTCTGTCTGTGCCTTATATTCCATCCAGGATACCCATTTTTAGGACGGGTAGCACCCTGGGTGGGACACCCTTAATCCCAGCATCACACACCCTAGATCCATTCACCCCTGAAAAACCCTGCCTATGACCATGAGACTGGTCCTCCATCTAAACACAGGCATAAGAAATCTTACCAAAACTTTTCCTTAATAATGTGGTAGGTCACAATAGATTTTCTGATTTTGAAAAATTCTTGCACTCCTAAGTTGTTTTACCTAAATATATATTACTTAATATATATTACTTAAATATATATGACTTACATAACTTATAAGATATGATAGTTTATTTAAAAATTATGTCATGCTGCTTCTGTACACAGAAGACCCAAAAAACTCTACGAAAAGATTCCTAGAATTAACCAAATTCAGTAGTGTAGCAGGGTACAAAGTTAACACACAAAAATCAGTAGTGTTCCTTTAGCTGGGGATGGTGGCTCACACCTGTAATCCCAGCACTTGGGAGGCTGAGACAAGAGGATCATTGCAAGTTCAAGACCAGCCTGGGCAGAGTTTAAGGCCAGCCAGAACTGCATAGCAAGACCCTGCCTCAGACAAAAAAAGTCAATAGTGTTCCTGTATACCAATAATAAACTCACTGAAAAAGAAATGAGGAAATCAGTACTATTCACAGTAACATCAAGAATAATAAAATACGTAGGAATTAACCAAACCAAGGAGGTGAAAGACCTTTCTAATGAAAACCACAGTACCCTGAAAAAGGAGATCGAAGAGGACATCAGAAAATGGAAATATAGAGCCGGGGATATAGCTCAGCGGCGTAAGTGCTTGCCAGGCAAGCCTGAGGTCCTGAGTTCAATTCCCGGTACCAAAAAAAAAAAAAAAAAAAGGAAATATGTCCTTTGTTCCTGGACAGGCAGAGCCAATATTGTCAAAATGGCCATACTTCCAAAACTGATACTCAAATTTAATGCATTCCCAATCAAAATACAAATAGCATTCCTTGTAGGACTAGAGAAAGGAATCAATTCAGATGGATCAATTCAGAAGAGACCTAGAATAGCAAACCCAGTTCTGGGCAATGAGAGCAAAGCAGAAGGCATCACAATCCCAGACTTCAAGTTATATTACGAATCTACAGTGATAAAAATAGCATGATAGCTGGTTTTGATGGTGGACACCTGTAATCCCAGCACTTTAGGAGGCTAAGACAGGAGGACTGCTGAGAGTTTGAGGCCAGCCTGGGCTACATAGTGAGTTCAAGGCATGGAACTGCATAGCAAGACCTTGTCTCAAAATAAAACAACCCAAAACAAACCAAACCAAAAAGCACTCCAGGCACATTCAGCTACCTGGTCTTTGACAAAGGGCCTAATAAACTTTTCTGGAGAAAAGACAGCCTATCTACATGCAGAAGACCCAATCTAGACCCCTATCTCACTGTGTACTGAACTAAAATTAAAATGGATCAAAAATCTAAATGTTAAAACAGAAGAATAAGACAATCTATTGGAAGATAAATAGGTAAAACTCTTGAAGACATAAGTATGGGCAAGGGTTTTCTGAAAAGAGCCCCAATTGTACAAGAAAAATACCAAGAATCAACATTATTTGATATTAATTAATTATAAATAAATTATTATAAATAATTATAAAGAATATATTAAGTATTTGATTTTGAATTTATTTTAATTTTAAATATCAAAAAGCTTCTGCTCAGCAAAGAAAACAGCCAACAGAGTGAAGAGATAACCTACAGAATGGGAAGAAAATTTTTCCACCTATACCTCAAAGGACTAATATCTAGACTACATAAAGAACTCAAGAAAATTAGGCTCCCCCCCAAATAAAAGACTCAACCAAAAAATAGGCAACTGAAATGAATAGACTTCTCTCAGAAGAAGTACAAATGGCCAATAAATACATGAAAAAATGTTCAGCATCATTGGTCATTAAAGAAATGCAAGTTAAAACAGCACTGAGATTCCACCTTACCCCAGAAAGCATAGTTATCATTAAAAAATTAAGAAATAATGCTGGCAAGGCTGCAAGGAAAAAGAAAATCTACATTGTTGATGAGAGTGTAAATTAGTACAACCACTATGGAAATCAATATGGAGATGCCTCAAAAAACTAAAAACAGAAATTTCATTTGATCCAGCCATTTCCCTTCTATGTATCTTCCTGAAAGAGTTAAAGACATCATATCACAGTGACATATGCATGTTTATAGCAGCACAACTCACACTGGCTAAATCTTGGAAACAGCCTATTTGCCCGTCAACAGATGAATGGATAAAGAACACATGGTATTTACACACAACAGAGCATTACTCTGCCATAAAGAGGGATACACTTGAGTCATTTATAGGAAAATGGATGCACCTAGAGACAATAATACCACCACTGCCACCATCATCAGACAATAATAATAATAAGACACAAAAGGTTGAAACCTTTCTCTGATATGAGAAACCCAAAGTATAAATAACTTAAAGAGCAAAATAAAAGGTGACAGAAAACAGAAGTAAACCTTTTGCAGATGGGATGGAGATCTACGGATGGAGAGAGAAGGTCAGGTGGGAAGGGGTAGGGGAAATAAAAACAACTAAGATACAATATGTCCCCTGACTAGCTCCTCATGAAGAAGGTATTCATTATGTATCACAAACATGTACTAATAAAAAAGTCAGCACTGCTTTTAATATTAGGGCTTGTGTATTAAATATCTTGAAATAAAATCTTTCACATTCATTTCTACATGTTATTAACATAAAGATCAT